ATAAAGTGAGAGAATTGGGCCAAGCAGAGAGCCCTCCTTGTGGCTATGAAATAAGGGCCTCAGCCCAGCCTCCCCCACCACACCTCACAGCCACCCCTCCCTAAACCCCAGCTTCGTGGACTTCCCCGAGTTCCAAACATCACATGGTCTTTCCCACCCCCAAGGCTTTGCTCAAGCTGCTCCCTCCACCTGGCCTGTGCTTCTCTCCCCAACAGCCCCAAGCTCAGGCCTGCTCATCCCTAAGCATGCCACTGCCTCCAAGAAGCCTCTCCTGATTTCCCTGCCCCCATCCCCACTCTGTTCAAGGACTGGGAAGAGGCCCCTCATCTGTGCCCCCACACTGTCATCCAGCAAAGCCATTATCACCATTGTCCTTGGCCTGGGGCTCGGCATGTTGGAGGATGTATCTTCATTAAGGACAGACTCCTTCAAATAGTAGAGATGGCTTTACTTTGTTTTGCCAATTTAAAAAGCAGTATACTCGAGCAACCCAGTAAATACAGTAGCATTGGATGGTAGCCCCAAATATAAAATAAACATCCATGAATTTCTACTGATATAAATAAATAAATCATTTTGGCTTTTAAAAAAATTTTTTAATATTTATTTTTGAGGGAAAGACAGAATGCGAGCAGGGAAGTGGCAGAGAGAGAGAGAGAGAGAGAGAGAGAGAGAGAGAATCTAAAGCAGGCTCCAGGCTCTGAGCTGTCAGCACAGAGCCCGATGCAGGGCTTGAATCCACGAACTGTGAGATCATGACCTGAGCTGAAGTCGGACGCTTAACTGAATGAGCCACCCAGGCGCCCCTGTTTCCTTTTATAACAAATGAGAAAAACAGACAAATCTCCCATGAGAAATTCCAAATATCCTAAGCATTATGTAGCTTGTCTGCCCTCAAGAAATAACTTCCCATTCTTTTTTTTTTTTTAATGCTTATTTAATTTTTGAGAGAGAGAGAAAGACAGAGCATGAGCAGGGGAGGGACAGAGAGAGAGAGGGAGACACAGAATCTGAAGCAGGCTCCAGGTCCTGAGTTGTCAGAACAGAGCCCAACACGGGGCTTGAACTCACAGACTGTGAGATTGTGACCTGAGCTGAAGTCAGTCACTTAACCAACTGAGCCACCCAGGTGCCCTCTTCCCATTCTTTAAGTGACTTTCTTCCCAAAGGGAGAGTGTGGAAGGTGGGGCGGGGGGGGGGGGCAGGAAGGGGGGGGGGGACAGGAGGAGGGAGCAGTGGAGAGAAACGTGACAAACACAACTGCCACCAGGTGACCACAGTCCCCGTCAACAGTGCTAAGACATGTCAGGAGTCCATACCCTTCGATACGACGTGCTGAGCATGGCCCCTCACCTCTGTGGTCTTCCTCCCGAAAACACTTGCCCAAGCCTAACCGGGGGAAAACCATCAGACAGGCCCCATTGGATGCATATTTGACAAAACGCATGCCCAGGACTTCTCAAAACTGTCCAGGTCACCAAAAACAAGGGAGTTCTGAGAAACTGTCCCACCCACAAGGAACCTAAGGAACATGAGGACTAAACGTGTCGTGGGATCCTGGACGGGATCCTGAGACGGGAAAAGAAAAAAAAAGATGTCGGGAAAAAGCTGAGAAAGTCTGAATAGAGTGTGGATTTCCGTCAGTTGTGACAGGGGAGCCATCGTGTAAGAGGCTGACCCTAGGGGAAAACAGGTGTGGGGCGCACGGCTCTCTGTACCGGGTCTGCGACATTTCTGTAAATCCAAAACCGTTCTAAAATTAAGCTTCCTTTAAAAAGTCATACTTGCTCATTGTACCGAATACAGAGAATACAGGAGTGTAGAAGCGACTAGAGCTTTCACAGCCCTATAGCCCAGAGACAGCCAGCCCCGGCCTCCTTCCCTCCCCCCCCCCGCCTGTGGCTACAAAGTTCTGAAATCACAGCGGCTGCACGCTTTGGCACCCGAGCACTGCGTCCCTAAGGGGGTCCGGGTGCCTCGGACGGGAGAAGTCAGAGAGGAAGAGATTTCTGGGCAAGAGGGTCTTCTGGGCATCCCTGCCTCCTCTCCTGGATCTAGGACGTGCTTTGGGATGCCAGACGAGCCGGGGCCAGAGAGGCCAATTTAAGAAAGTTCTCTGACTCCCCTACGCATGCAAGTTTGAGTCAGAAATACCCCGTGACTGAGGTCGGTCGACACAAACCCAGCGAGGGCCTGAGGAAGCCCCTCACGCCCCAGCCCTCGGACGCCGGGGTCCTCCCGACCTCCTGTAGTAACGGCCCCGATGGCCAGTAAAGTGTAGCGCTGCCTGAACACACCAAAGACCCGATTTAGCCCTCCCCAGGGAGGCCAAGTCTATGAATAACCCTGAATGCTGTCACCCACGACTGACTCCAGATGATGGCAACCTGGGCGGTCAACACATCTGGGCAATAGCTTCCTTTTTTCCATCCAGATGTTAGAGGCCAGGACAGCACACCTGGCCCCCCACCGCGCAGCCACAGGAAAGCCCCCCAGCGCCCCCTGTCCTTTCTGGGAAGGAGCAGAGGCCTCTCCAGAGGACAACCCCCCCCCCCCCCGCATTGGAACTAAGGACTAAGGACCAGACATCTCCACTGGGAGTGACTTAGCACCCAGGGCACATTTGGCAACGTCTGGAGGTATTTTTGGTTATCACAACTGGGCAGGAGGGGGGGCAGGGGGAGGCTACCAGCACCTTGTGAATAGAGGCCAAGGTACGGAACATCCTACGTTGGACAGTCCAGTCCCCAAGACAAAGAGTTCTCCAGCCCCAAATCTTAACAGCACGCTACAGCGAAGTTCCAGACTCTTTGGTTTGTCGCTCAGAGCCCTTGGCATGGCCTGCACCCCAAGCCGAAGCCTCCGGGCTGGTCTGTGTAGTGTCCCCAATACAAGCCACACACCCCCCCCCAAAGCCTCTACACTCAGCACACCCGTTCCTCCCCACCCAGGCTCTACGCCTCCACCGGCGGCACCGCCTCTGAGAAGGCTTCCCTAATCGCTGGCCCACACTTTCTCCAGCTCTGCAGGCAGGCCCTGATGTCACTTCATCCTGTCCAGGTGAGGGCCTCAGGCAGTGCAATCAAGAAGAATCCTCAAGAGTCACAGAGCCTGGGGTTTTCAGGACAGATGCCAGGCTCCAGCAGCCCGCGTGTGGGCACGGTCCAACCCGCACAGGGATTTCTCTTTCACCTTGAGCTGGTCCCTCAACGTGGAAATGCCAGAAAATGTGGCGTAAAAGCCTGTGTTTCCTGCTTCTCTAAATGTCAGGGGAGCAGCTCCTGGGGCCGCATTCTTTTGTAACAACAATCAGCGGAAGCAGAGACAAGCCCCCAGGGTGGACCTGGCGCAGGGTCACTCACTTACATGACCTGTCTGGCCCACAAGAGGCTAGCGTTTGAAACCTCTGCCTCAGTCCACGTCCCCTCCTCTCATCTTATAAAAGGGAAACTGAGGCCCCAGAGAGAAACCTGTCCGAGGTCACACAAGCAGTTAGCGGCAGGGCCAGGGTCAGGACCCAGGGGCACGTTCTGCACAGGGACACAGCTGCCGACATCACTGTCCTTTGGAGAATGTAGCCCAGGCTGAGCTGGGAGGGACCCTAAGGATTTCACGTGGGGACGGCCCAGGTGCCACTCGCTTCTCTCACGATCATCCTCACACTGGCAGGACGTACGCGAGACAACCCCTGAGCAGCGCCCGGAACCAGCACTCGGGGGTCTGACAGCTTGACTCTGGCTGCCATGCGGCAGCAGGCTCTGCGTCTGAGGCTCTGCTTTTGTGCCTTGTAGACATTAACTCCCTAATCCTCACAACAGCCCTGTCGGAAAGGTATTATTATCTTTGACGAAGAACCCGGGGTTCAGAGAGGTTAAGTAAGCGGTCCGCAGCTGCACAGCTAGGAAGCGGGGAGACGAGGAGTTTGCACGCAGGAGTGGACTCAGAGGCTGTGCACTGATCCGCAGAGGAGCACCGCCCCGCCGAAGGCCGGGCTCTCGCCGCACCGCTGCCTGCCCTGCTCAAGACAGGAAGCAGATACAGCCAGACTTCAGCACTTTCCAGCAGCCCCCCAGAGAATGCCGGATTTAGGCTAATTTTGAGGAAGCCCTTCGAGGCTCATGAGAGAACTGTTAACCACAGGCCCTGAGTCACCCTGAGGGAAGGCGCCTAGGTCTGGGGGAGCTGGGTGTGGCCCGGAGTCGTGCGGTGGGGTGGCTGGGTCCAGGCCGGACAGAACGGAGACCCCAACTTGCACCCACTGAGACAGAGCGGGGAGCCACTGGCCCCAAGGGGCTGTGGTTTGCCCAGAGTCACTCGGAGTTTAAAGTCAAAGGCCCCACAGCGGCTGGGGAGCGGGGAACGGGGGGTTTGCATGCCAGCTTCCAAAGGGGAACTGCTGGGCCCCTGCCCCTCAGGCGGGCCAGGTGGGCCGGGCAGGTCACCCCCCCCCATTAGCACAAGATCTCAGGTTTCCTTCGGGGGCGAGAAGGCAGTGGTTTGGGGGTTATGAACCAAGAGGATTCAGCCCCTCCCCCCCACCGCGAGAAGCACCAAGGAGAGAGTCCCACCTTCACGCCCGCAGCAGCCCAGGACCCCCCACCCCTCCAGGAAGAGTCAGGCTGTGCCTGGGGCCTGACTCTGTCTCCCGGCAACAGTCCAAGCCCACATTTCTCCCGAGATTCCTGGCTTCTGATGGACGCACTTTTGCGGCTGCTCTTTTGTCCCATTTTACAGAGGCAGAAACTGAGCCTCAGAGACAGTGTGGGTTCCATTCGCTAAGAATGAGGACCCTCCCTCCCACCACTGCTCCCCTCCGGCAGCTGCTGCAGGGCCCCCTCCCCAGGGTGACAAAGGGGAAACTGAGGCCCGGAGCAGGAAAGGGACCTGGCCAGGGTCCCGCGGAGCGGGGGTGGGCGACGGTCCTCTCATCGGAGGGGCTTAGTAGATGGGGGCCTCCCTCTTCCACACACACGCGCCCACACGCCCTCACGCACACTCACCACATGGTAGACGGCCAGGGCGGTGGTGGCGATGCGGACGTTGAAGCAGCAGCAGGTGTGGCGGGCGGCAGCCGCGCGGGGGGCCATGGTGCTGCCGTCCCCTGCTCCTAGGCACTGAGGGGACAGCCCAGCGCCTGGAGCAGGGCAGAAAAGAGGAAGCTGCTGGCTACCCTCCTCACTTCCTTCCTGCCCCTCCGACAGGCAGGGGCCGGGTCATCAGCACTGGGGCGGGGCAGCTGGGAAGGACTACAGGCCGCCTGCAGCCCCACAGCTGGCCCTCTGCCAGCCCCAGGGGGTCAGAGGGGGGACTTCCCTGTGGAGGGCAGGTCCTGGCACCTCCGCACCTACCGTCTGGTAAGGCTGGGGTTTGAGCAGACGCACATACCCCACTCACTGGATGCTCCCCACCTCCTAGAAGCAGCGTTACCAAACCCATTTGCAGGGAGAGAAACACAGGTCCAGAGATGCCAAGGCAATCAGCCCAGATCACCCAGCAGTCAGTGCTGGCGGCACAATTCAAACCCAGGTCTGCCTGGCTGCAAACGTAGTGACTGCATAGTATTTCCTTTATGTTCTAAGAGCGTTTCTGGATTAATTGCTCTAATGCTCACCTCTGTCCTTTGAGGGAGGTACTATTACTAGCCCTGTTTTACAGAGGAAGAAACCGGAGCCCAGAGAGAGGGAGTGATTTGGCCAAGGTCACACAGCCAGCCCACAGGGGAACTGGGATTTGAATGGGAGCCGACTGCTCCCAGAGGGGGCCCCTCGGAGCTGGTGTTCTCTTCCCTGTACCCCCAGCCTCAAAGGAGAGCGTGTTCCTCCTGAGCCCTGTCCAAACCAGGACTGAAGAGTAATGACTGAGCAAAGCCATCAGTCACGTGTCAGGCCCTGGGCTAGGCTCTCCCCACAGCTGGCTCCTCTATGCCTCACAGAAATCTGGGACACCCTCAGTCAAACCTCTCTTCCTGAGCCTCAGGGACCCTGAGACTCACACACCATCAGGGATTTTCCCCCTGGCTCTTGGGAAAAGTTGAAATTAATAAGGCATGACTATTAACTGGCTATGCTGGGATCTCAACTCCCTTCTCAGGTGATAAATGATCCATTCTGCAGTAAAGGAAGGGGATATGAGGCTCTTGGGAAATCCCTGCCAGAATTCTGCTCTGTGCAGACGCCGAGCTCACTTGCAAAGTACAGCTTCTCCCGGAGGACTCCGGGGGACCTGGCGTGAAGTCCCGCCCTCGCATCAGGTCCTGGAGTTAGGATTGGCCGCCACAGCTGCTCATCCTTTCTGCCCTGGGAGAGGTTATAAAAGGACTCTGTGCTCCTGATCCTGGGGCGAAAGTTGTTCTACTTGGCTGATAGACTTACCCAAACCTTTCTCTGTTTGCCTATGAGACCAAGGGGGCTCAGCAAGCTTGGGGCTTCTGGGTGACCCAGTCGGTCCCTCCCCTCCTTCACTTTCAAGCCTGTTTATTTTTCGTCACCTGCCTTGCTGAGACCAGACATCCCAGAAAGGCAGTACCGTGTGCGGGTTACGCACACAGGCTCCAAGGCTCACCTCTAGGGTCCAATTCCTGGCACCTGCTGGCTACAGAGCCAATGCAGAGAGCAAAGTCCTGCTTGTCCCAGGAACAGCAGAACCAGAGTGGCAGGAGATGAGGAAGGCAGGGGTCACAAGGACCCTGAGCCACGCTGGGGCACCTGGACTTCATTGTGCTGGGAAACCACTTGAACATTGAATGCCATAATAAATGATAGCCATTAATAACATTACAATTCAGTGAAACTAGGGCAGGTGTAGACCCAGTTCTCAGAGATAGTGTGTGGGACAATTTTACATGGTATATGGATGAACACATTTCATTTTTACAGTGATAAATCCATTTTAATGTGCATTATAAAAATATACATAACTAGCCCATGAATTTTGTGACTTTCCATTTAGGGGAGTAATATAAAGCCTCTTTTTAAAACAGATACATTTAAATAGAGAAGAGCAGTAAGTTGGTTTGCAGAAAACTACCCGGCCAGCCTTAGGCCAGGAGGCGGGCAGATGTGGCAAACAGCCACGGGGCAGGGTGGGTGTCGCTGGTCTGGGAATTCTCGTCCTTGGGAAATCTCACAGGAGCTGTGCAACTTCAGACACAGTGCTCAATCTTCCTGAGTTGTTGTTTCCACATCTGCAAACCAGAGGCAGAGCCTGCACCTTGGAGAAGATGAAATGAGGTCACGTGCAAACACTTCTGTCTGTTTCCTCCTTTCCGGGACGTGCCTGCTCCCCGTCCCTGCCCCCACCTGCAGGGCTGCTGAGAATAGGCACGGGTTGGACTTGAATTCTGGTCCGTCTGCTCCTGGGTCCCGGGCACCATCTCCCTCCCAGAAGCCATGGAGTTCCGATTGATCATGAACTCCTCGCTGAGTAGCCAGCCTCCACCACGTGCTGGGCCCTTCTTAGGATGGGGGCGGGGGGCGGGATTCAGTCACTCCCTGTGGGATGGAATGGAAGCCCACTCCGCTTTATTTCCATCTGTTCCAGACCTCCTGAGGAATGGATGCTTGTTCTCCCAAATGTCAGACCCCTTGGCCAAGGCCACTGAGGTAAGCAGAATAAAGATACCCACATCTCAGTCCCTGGAATTTGTGAATACGTGTTACCTTACACGGTAAAGGGACTTTACAGGTGTGATTAAGAATCAAGATGCGAAGATTGTCTTGGAGTATCCAAGTGAGCCCAGTGTAATCAAAACAGAATCATCAAGGGGCGCCTGGGTGGCTCAGTCGGCTGAGCTTCCAACTTAGGCTCAGGTCATGCTCTCACGGTTCACGGGTTCGAGTCCCGCTTCGGGCTCTGTGCTGACAGCTCAGAGCCTGGAGCTTGCTTCTGATTCTGTGTCTCCCTTTCTCTCTGCCCCTCTGCCACTCGTGCTCTGTCTCTCTTTCTCTCTCAAAAATAAATAAACATTAAAATTTTTTTAAAAAAACAGAATCATCAAAATGTATCATAATCATCATCAAAAATGTAATCAATCATAAAGGGTGCTTGAGTGGCTCAGTCGGTTAAGCGTCAAACTCTTGATTTCCTCTCAGGTCATGATCTCCCAGTTCACGAGTTCGAGCCCTACATTGGGCTCTGCTCTAACAATGCAGAGCCCACCAGGGATTCTCTCTCCCTCCCCACTCTCCCCTTCTTGCTCTCTCTCTCTCTCAAAATAAATAAAGAAACATTTTTCGGTAGAGATTGTAAGGTGCTAAACTGCTGGCTCTGAAGATGGAAAAAGGAGCTGATAGCCAAGGAATGCAGGCCGCTTCTAGAAGCTGGAAAGGGGAACGGATTTTCACTGTCTAAAGGGAATGCACCTGCTGACAGCTGATGCCTTCTTCTCACTGATTTTAGCCCAGCGAGAGCCATTATGGACCTCTGTCGTCCAGAATGGTACCGTAATAAATGTGCATTCTTTACAGAGTTTACTGTGACTTGTTACAGCAGCGACAGGAGAGTCCTACTGCCCCTCGGTAGAGTCCACGCTGGACCCTGGGCCCCTTCACCCCTCCATGGAAGTTGCAATCTCCACCCTCTCATGTGCTGCCCTAGACCTCCTCGCCGTGAACCTTGGGCAGATGGCGGACTTCTCTGAGCCTCAGTTCTCTTTTGCCACATATCATATAATGATAATGCCCATCTTGTCGTTTGTGAAAACGAACTGAGGAAATGTCCAGGTGGCAGCAACCCGGCATGTGCCCCTTGCCCCTCTTTGGCCCTTTTCCATGACAAATGACAGGGCCTGAACTTCTCCAGAATTTTTAACCTCATTGTAAACTGGGGGACCTTGCAAGCTTCCAACCTTCCAAAGCCCGGATAAGGAGAAGAAAGTGCTCCGTAATTCCACAGCAGTGGCCCGGCCTGGACGCCCCTGGCCAGGACGCTGACCTCCTGAGTGTCACTCCTGATGGGGGGTCTTCCAGGATTCCTGTCTCCTAGAAAGTCACCTTGGGCCCCGAAAACATCTGTACTTCCAGCTGCTTGTCGTGCGAAATTATTCGCTGCCACGCTCTGTTAACATTTCCACGGACTCCTTGGTTTCCTCAAAGGCAGTTACTTGTGTGCTTTCTTTGTTGGGCCAGAATATCACTGGGACTTCCCTCTTCACCCACAGGCCTGGAGGTAAAAATAAAACCCGCCAGACTCCTCTGGGTTTCATATTCAAACAAAGGGCTGGGCCGTCTTGCCCTTTCAATTAACCTGAAGCGTTTCGGAGGGTCCCAGAAACCACTCAACAGTGGCGCCTGCTTTGATAGGATTGTTGCTGGGGTCACTTATGTCATTAGCTAAGCCCTTCGCTAGCGTGCAACTCAGCTGAGTGGCCCCCAGCTCCAGCGCAGAGAGGAAGGCGGCAGAGAGGTGTCGATCGGCCCCTGGCAGGCCCTAGGGGGCAGTGGCTGGTACGCAGGTCCCGCCTGGGGACACTTGCTTAGGAGGCACGTGAGTGGTACCGCCCAGGGCAGTTCTGGGGCTCTCTTCCCCGGGGGGCTCCCGGGTGCCCCTTGCAGCTCACCCAGGCCAAGAGACAAGCTTCCTGCCTGGCCACCAGCCCTCACCACCCCACTCCCACTTTTGCGATTCAGAGCTGGAACTTGCAAGGCCAAGGTCAGTGGCCTGGAAAACGGGAGAAAACCCACAGTACTCTTTCCCCGCCTCTTTCCCCCCAAACCCTACACCCCTGGTCCTGCAGAAGGGAGCCAGACCTTGACCTCTGAGGGTCAGCCTGGCAAGGCCACCACACAGGTCCCTGACCAGGCGGTCCCCCCGTGGACAGGCAGAGCCCCTGAGGTGGTCTGGCCAGCACCCCGTCAAGGAGGAGATCGAAGGTCACACCCTCTACTGCTCCGTTGTTGCTGCTTGCCCTGGGCTCTGCTGGCTCCGAGGTGAGGGCTCCACAGTCAGAAAAGTCACTGGAAGTAAACAGTATGCAGGGCGACCTACGTCCGCGCCCTCCAGCTGAATGCCAGCGCCTCCCTCCTACCCAGCTGTTAACCACACCCTTGGAAAGAACCTCAGAGATGCAGGTCCCTGAGAAGTCGGTGCTAATGTGCATACCTGCCCTTAATACCGCAGTAAGAACGATCGCCCTGGGACATTTCCCCCAGATAGGGGATTT